CTCACGGATCGCACCCGGGAAAAGTGAGAAATGTTGTGAACTTCTCTGATTCCACGAAAAAAACGCACAATGTAACCTAAGGCTACAACGTTTTCTGGACACGCACACAAACGGACAACTATTAAGACCTTAGACTACAGTCTAGAGAAAAATGTTTTAAGAACGAAGACTAAAAAACCTATCAGTTAACACTGAAGTAGGACGAACCAATGAGAAAGACGATAAGGTGGCACTAAACTCAGTCCTAGCATTTAGTCCACGCGTGTCCTAACCCAGCATAACTGACAAATGCTGTGAACTTCTTTGATTCCGCAGGAAAAACGCACACTGTACTATACCGCTAAAACGTTTTCTGGACATCTTCTCAAGATACAAAGAGTGGCTGCAAGTATTTCTGCTGGATTTTCCATGATAAATTATCTATATTCTATACCTTTTATCATCCGTGGATGACGTTTTTAATGTTATCAAAATTAACTGCTTTCTGGCGACATCTGTCTCCCAACCGCAGAAAAAATTTGCTTAGTTGTTTTTCTCTGTATCAATAAATACTATTTCGGTCGTGTACTTGAATATTTTCCCTCTCGAGTGAAAAAATAACTTTCTGTTTTTCTCTCTTGTAATTGGCTTATCCACAGAATATCTGACAGCCATTTTTCCGTATTTTGCGCACAGACACACACAGACAACCATTTTGTAATATCCCAGATTAAAGTCAAGAGAAAAATGTGTGAGGATGTGCCTTCAGACTTCGCTTCTTCTTCCAATTTTGCTTTATCAGGTGAAGTACAGAAAAGAGAAAACCGAACTCTATTGAAAACTGAAAAAGAAAAGAACGTAGTCATTAGAAACGATACTGCTCGTGAAGGAACAAACTACTGACAAGTATTTGGTTTTCATGCAATGAAAACTCAAACCGGTGGCCCATTAACAAAGTCAAAGGCTTTGCGTCATGTTTCAACACGTGTGCATATACGCCAAAGACCGGTTTTTTAAGGTGCCATCCACAGACGTCAATGGACGGAAATTTGTGTCCATAACAGTCCTTGGTAAACACTACTGAAGAAAACGCACACATTTCATAAACTCGAACAATGTTTTCTTGGAATCAACCAAATTTATTTTTCAATCGTTTGCTTCAATAATAGGCGGCGATACCGACAATAGAAGTCAGGAATATGACATTAAAATGTGTTCTACACACTTCTGAACGTGCACTCACTGATCGACGTTTTTGTGAATATTCTTGCAAGATTCTTGTCTATTACGATTTCAGACAAGAATCTTCAATTTTGTCTTGATAGATCAGACAAGATTCTTCTTTTAATTGTTTTATTGATTTTCCATGGTATTTCGTTAAAGATTCTTGTCTGAAATGACAAGCTTCGTTGACAACACCAAAATTACTAATTTGTTTTGTCGATTCCCGTACTAGACATAAGTTACATAATATAACCTAATAGTATACATAGATGTCTTTAAAAAGTCTTTTAAATCTCACAAGATTCGCGTTGAGAGACAATCGAATTTTTATATGTGCCTGTGTTTTGGCGTTAGAGTGTCTAGTTCCTACATATATGACAAGAAAAGAAGACAGAAAATGGATTGTATATGCATTCTTTTCTTTTAAGAATTACAAGACAAGATTCTTGTGATAAAAATACATGTAAATTATTTTACAAGACTTTTGTCTGAAATGTCAAGAAATAAGAATCTTACAAGAATACGCATAAGAACATCGACCAGTGGCTATTTCGTTCAAACAATATTTTTCCTCCGTTCTTTTTCATGACCTCTAGAGTAGATGAGTGACCTTTAGTGTTTATATATAGGGATGTATGTCTGCTTTTTTTTTCTTCGTCACCCTTTTACGCACATGTTAAATAAATGTTGTACTATAATTAATGAGAAAGTATACGCTCTCTTTCTTGCCTTAATCAATACGAACGAAATAGTGAAAGAGAAGGAGTATCGAAGAAAAAAAAAGAGAAATACATCCCTATATATAAAGATTACAGGTCAGTCATCTACTCTAGAGGTCATGAAAAAAAACGAAGGAAAAATATTATTTGAACGAAATGAAATAGTGCACGTTCAGAGCTTTAAAGAATACATTTTAATATCGTATTCCTGACTTCTATTGTCGGTATCACCGTCTACTTTTTTGAAGCAAAGAATCGAAAAATAAATTTGGTTAATTACAAGAAAACATTGTTCTAGTTTATACGAATAAATAAATACAGCAGTAATAGTTTCTGTAGTATGTAATTATTCTAGTGGCTATATATCGTTGGAACTTGTCTATTTTCTTTTTGCTTTATTAACTAGACGTTCAGGTATGTTTTAGGTTATAAACAGATGGAAAAAGATTATAAGCGGTAATAAGAGATTCATTATGACATAATATTCATCTGATTATTTTTTTGTAAGTGGTTTGGTATTGATTTTCTTATAAGATTTAAAGTTGTACTTATGATGAGTTTCACTTGAGTATTCAGGTTTAGAAATAGTCATTCGGAGAATATCACATGCCCGCGTACACAGTAGGGGTGTTAATTTAGTATTATAAAGCAAATAAATTCATCATAATTTAAACAAATGAAAAAGACAGGCAACTATAGGTTTCAGGATGATGTTTGCTCCAAAACGGGATATGTATGAGCTTGTAGAGGAAGACTTGCTCTATCCTCTAGTGTATATATTGTCGAATCCTAATGTGCACTATCAGAGAGAATGAAACATAACCCTGGTTATTTACACTTTTTTAGAAATTTATTTTATTATTGAATTTAATATAGTATATTATAGACTAAAGTGTCCTCTACAAAATAAGACCACTCACAACTCTTCCAAGGCCTTTCGTTGACGAGATACGAACTTTTTAAAGTATGTTACTTTACGCTGAACAAAGCCTAGTTTTTTACTTTCGAGCCTTTATTCTCGTCTATGCTCTCCGCCATGTTTTCTGATAGATTTATAATCATTTGGCTGGAAGTCTTTGAAAAAGTTACATTTGTGACATAACGTCCAAAATGAGCATAACTGTATCAGAAAACATGGCGGAGAGCTGGGAGACATCTCATTTTGTAGAAAAATCTTTACTCTACAAAACTGACCGTTTGAAAATTTTATCAAGTATTGGATAGACGAGAATAAAAGTTTGAAAGTAAAAAACTAGGCTTTGTTCAACGTAAAGTAACATACTTCAAAAAGTTCGTATCTCGCCAACGAAAGGCCTTGAAGAGCTGTGAGTGATCTTATTTTGTAGAAGACACTTTAGTCTATAATATACTATATTAAACTCAATAATAAAATAAATTTCTAAAAAAGTGTAAACAACCAGGGTTACGTTTCATTCTCTCTGACGGTGCACATTACAATTCGACAATATATACACTAGAGGATAGAGCAAGTCTTCCACTACAATCTCATACATATCCCGTTTTGGGATCAATAACTTATAGTCGACTTTATTTTTATAAAATAACGATAAATAAATCATTTATCTGTATTATTTTTATTTTCTTTTATTTTTGAAAATAAAGGTAACAAATCGTTTAGTTTTAGAAAATAAAGATAAAGTATTTATTTGTTTATCTTTATTCTTCAAATAATAAATTTTTCTTCATTTATCTTTATCGTTTATTATAAAGGAAATGAACACTAAATTAATAGCTCTAGTACACAGCAGTTTCATTAGAGATATTTGTAGGTGTGATGAACGTGCATACACGGACATGTCAGAGTGAGAAACGTATATGCACACAGATAACAGTATGATATTCGGATAACATTTATTATCTAAGGTTAATTACTTTTGTATTACATATAAAAGTATCAGATTGATAGTAATTAATCTGCGACCATGAACAGTATCAGAGTGAATATGCTTCTACATTAATTAGTAGAATCAGCGTACTGGAATAAAATGAATCACTGCAATCAATATACACTCGCATTAAGGAAGGATGGCTCCCCATGCAGATTTTTCTCTAACGTTCCCAGTTTGTAAAGGATACTTCGAAGTACTTTCCAGTAAAACATTTTTTCTAAGTAAAATGACAACTCTTAGCTATGTATGAATCATTATCTGGAAAAAAATGTATATGGCATACCCTTTTTTATGAGATACAGCTTAGAGATTGTCCGAGGCGATTTGCATAAAGTAATGAAGATTTTATGAGTTCAGCCTTATCTATGAAGAATAACAGCTTTCTTGTCCGAAAATAATTTCGAAAGTCTTACTGATCGCAATTCAAATATTTTTCGTTGTCTTCGGAAAAAGGATGTGCATCAGATTTTGTTTTTAAAATTGGAGCTTTTGAAGATCTCATGATGCGCTCAACTGCTGGTAATGAAATGATTTTAGAATTTGAGGCATCTTTCATGGGTAATCTGTCATGTTGTTCAGCGTTGTAGGAGTTTTCGCTGGAGTATTGTATTTTGGTAGTTTTTAATTTATTTTCAGATTCGCAGGACAAGGAGCTAGTGAAAGAGGAAATTGGTAAAGTTTGTAAAGAGATTTTTATGGTTGACGCAATAGAACTAGGTCAGAAGGTGGCTTTTTTTAAAGATCGCGTTTTTTGTATTATTTCTCTATTTAGATGATTACGTAATTTTTGTTGCGGAAAAGCATTTTGATGTAAAACGTTACCTCTTTGAAACGTAGAGATAATGTGCTATTTTAAAATGTCAGCTCTTTCATAATGCTTTTGTATTTTTTTTTTTCAATGGAGAATCTACATCTTTTTTCTATACGTGAAGAAACAAGAAAACATCACCATCTTGCAGAAAAAAGAAAGGTGTGCAGAAGTCTTCTTTTATTCGTGTTTTTTTCAGGTTATAACATTTAAACTGTTGTTTATACATCCATACTCATTTGTGATACAAAAAAAGTTTACTAAAAGTTCTTTGCTTGAAGTAGTTCATATACATATACCTTTGACATTTACAAAACTAGCGGGTTTAGTGTGATAATATTCTATTAACTTTCGTAAAGTATGTTTTGTCTTGTAAATAGGAAACAAAAAATAACATTTTATTTTAGATCTATTACACTGACTATGACCTCCACACAGGAAAATGAAAAGTTGATTAAAAAGCGCCAAAACGCATATATCCGACAACGTCGTCATAGAGCAAATCTAGATGATCTGTCACTCGCAGCTAAACGTCAAAAAGATCGTAATCGAAAACGTTTAGCACGGTTACTTGCGACGGACGAAGAAAAGGATGCGATCCGTGCTAAAACTCGTAATCGTGTTCGCCGGTTGCGATTAGGTGAAGCATCTTCCAAAATGCTGTGTAACCCCAAAAAATACCGAAATGGTATGAATTTGACTCGAACTGTGGAAACGAAGAATGAAAAACAATTGAATCGGGGTAACAATGGTCAGCAGATACGCATAACACGTTCTTGTATGAAAAATGAAGAAAAACATTTATTCCCCGAACAACGTGATGGTGAGAAAAAGAAATTTATAAGGTTGAATGTCAAGAATCGAGAAAAAAAATCATTATTCATCTATCGATGATAATGTGCAAGAACTTGATCAGTCTTCTACATATGCATCAGATCAGGTAAGCGTTCTGTGCATACAAAGCAAACAAGCTTTCATGTAACTCTTTTCTTATAGTCATTTTCGTCATGTTGGGAAATACTACCATTGATCTAAATGATCGACATCGACTAAGTTTTTAGACAAAAACCTGCATTTTTATATATGTATGTTCTCTTTTTTCCATTTTACTTGCTATTGTTCAAAATTTTCAATTAGTATTCTTCAAAAACTGTTGCATATATATGTCTTTTATGTTGTGTCATTTGTGACAAAAATAAAAAACAAAAATGAATCGTAGGATGCTGTCAAACCGCCTGACGATGATTTTTCAGCAAGATCTAATGCACTTTCGAATAATCTAATGCAATTCAGCAAGTTTCTAATTGCACCACAAAAGTCTCCTAAAAAATCCTACTTCAGGAAGGAACAACATTAGTTCGATTCGATCAAAACTAACAGAGTAATTGAAAAAATACAAAATATCCATTCTTTATGACACCCCGTTATCTTCAGTAATGATTGGCATTGGTGCATGCCTAGATCAGAGCACTTTCGTACATATTGTTTAGCCTTTTCTGCATTAAAACGAAGACACTGTGCGAGATCTGTGGCAAATATCTCCCAAGTATACACCGAGATACATTAATTTCAATATGTCCTAATAAAGGTATAATTAATAAATTTTTGAATAACATGTAATCAAATTTATTGTCATTAAAATTTTTTAAAAACACACAGATTTGTAGAGCTTCTGATCAGAATAAGACCTTGCACAGTTCTGTTTGACCTTGCATCAAGAAGTTACAGGCATTTAAAATTCAGTATTTCATACAGCGTTCAATACAGCGTTTTCACTATATAAAAAGTTACATTTGAAGTACTTCCCAAGATTTGTAATAGCGGTTTCTCGCAGAGAGTTTATTCTTTTTCTGTTAAAAAGAGAAAAAGAAATTACATCAACTGACCGGCGTCGATTTTTGAATGAGGTCTTTGTTTTTTATCAACCTGAAGATTTTTAGAAAATCTGGAAAGAATTTTCGGGTTTTGGAGGTTGTTCGTTGCCTGAGAAACCAATAAAGGCTTAATTAAAAAATCGGCGCCACTCAGATGATGTAGTTAGGTGTCTAGGTTAGAACAAAACAAACTCGAACGAATGTACGATGTCGGAGATAATTTCTGAGGGGGGAGGACCCTGAAGTGGTTTGAATGAAGAAGATTCATCATCGCAAAAACCACAAAAAAATCTGTGTTCATTATTGATAATACCAACTTCCATTCATCACGATCTATACCCATTTTCTCTGATTGTCAAGATTATCGTCATATTGAAGATGAAAGGTTCATAAATTAAACAAAATACGTTTAACTGCATCTAAGGATCTAAGATTTTCTGGTTGTGTTTTCGCTAAATTTTTCTTAACATTTAATCGATTATGAGAAAATGAGAGAGATAGTGTTTCGACTGGTTTCACTACTTTTGTTTTACAACTAAGACATTTCTACTTTTGATCATTACACAACGTT